TTATCTCGTCCTCCATTGCATTCCTCCAGACCTCTGACTTGGCAGCCTCCCTGAAATTTTCACGCTCAAGCAAGGCTGCATTGCATCTCTCATAAACCTCTGCCAGAGACCTTGCACCCCTAACTAGAAAATCATCATCCAAATCTGCCTCTTTTGGATCATCAAATTTGCCTGCTTTTGTTTTTGCAATCTGCTCTCTTCTGTCTTCTTCAGCTTCATTTTTCTTCCAATTTTGGATCCCTTTTTCATCCACCTTCACATCCCTAGTGATGTGTATTTTCCTGGTTGCTGGATCATAAATTCTATAGGCATTGGACTGCTTACTGTACCCTATAAAAATCCCTGTCATAGCCTTCTCATCTAGCTTACTTCTTTTAACTGCTGGAATGAGTGCATAACACACACTCCCAAAGATTTTCAGGTTTTTAATAGAAGGCTTCATTCCATACCAGGCCTCATAGGGTGTTTGATTGGTTAAAGCTTTAGTAGGGAGTCTATTAAGTAAATAGACCCTGTATTTACAGCTTCTGCCCAAAAGGATTTGGGCAGCTTCTTCTCTGCAACCATGCACCTTGCCATCTCCATGACAGTCCTATTCTTCCTCTCACTGACTCCATTTTGCTGTGGAGTATAGGGACAACTGAAGTGGTGAACAATTCCAGCTTCTATGCAGATTTTTCCAAATTCAGTGGAGATATACTCACTCCCATTGTCACTTTTGACAGATTCAATACTTAGACATGATTTTTTTTCAACCTGCAGTTTAAACGTCTCAAACACCGCTACAACTTCACTCTTTAGTTTCAAAAAATAAACCCAGCACATCCGGGAGTAATCATTAATGAAAAGGATAACATATTTGCTTCCATTTAGGGATGGTGTTTGCATAGGTCCACACACATCCGTGTGGATAAGCTGCAGCCTCTCAGCAGCTCTCCAGGCTTTGTTTACAGGGAATGTAATCTACTCATCTTGCCAAGTTGACAGGTAGCACATATGGTTTTGGTTTCTGCAATTTCAAGTAGATCACAGACCAATTCTTTGGTTTGAATTTCCCTAAGGCTATGATAATTGAAATGGCCTAATCTTTTATGCCACAATTCTGACTCATCCACATCAACAACATATGCTTCTGGTTCTGGTTTTTTCAGCCTAATAGGGAAGCTTTTTCCCATCATTCTAACCCTCATCAACTCATTGCCTTCACTGTCCAGGATTGTGCAAAACTGATCCTGGAAGTGCAGGGCATACTTCCTTTCTATCATTTGTCCAACACTCAACAAGTTATGGCTCATATTAGGCACATACAAGACATTGGGAATGAGTTTGATACCTGTTTTTGTTTGCACAGCAATATCTCCTCTCCCTTTCACAGCCACAAACTCCCCATTTCTAACTTTGACTTTGGAATGGTAAGACTTGTCTAAATTTACAAAGTCCTCCAGGTTTGCTGTCATATGTTTGGTGCACCCACTGTCTATCAGTCAATCATCATTGTGAGCTTGAACTGCACAGCATGAAGCCACGAACAGTTGCTCTGAATCTGAGTTTGGCTACTGGTCCTCCACAATCTGTGCTTGCTGTGTTGATTGATTTGGTTATTTTTGCACACCTTTTCAATGTGACCATATTTTTTGCATGCTCTACATTGAATTTTAGGCCTAAACTAGCACCTTTTTTCACCATGCCCCTTCTTCTTGCAGTGAGCACATGGTGGAAACTCTCTCACTCCAGTCGAATTGCTCCACTAATTTGCCATCCTCTCCTTTCCTTTCTTTTCTCCCGTAGGCCTCTTGCTTCCACCCTAGCTTGGTTTGACTTTGAATCTAGCCACCATTGCACCCTCACTAGAGTCCTCTTCCCTCAACAATCTCCTTTGCTCTTGAGAAGGCATACACTAAATCAGTGAGAGTGATTTGTGTCAAATCCTTAGAATCCCCAAGTGAGGATATCTTAGATTCAAACCTTTCGGGTAGGCTAACAAGAACCTTTTCCACCATCCTTTTATCTATCATCTCCTCTCCCATTAATCTGATTTTATTCACTACATTCATCAACCTATCCACATATTCCTTTACCGATTCTGACTCCTGCATTTTCAACATTTCAAACTCCCTCTTAATTTCAACACCTGCATATTCTTTGTTGTATCACTGCCACCGAACTCCTCTTTGAATTTATCTCATGCTTCCTTGGCTGTCTCATATGTCATGATTCTAGTGAACACTTGATCAGTTACTACTGCATGGATATGAGACAAGGCTCTAGGTGATTTGGTGGCTTCTTCATCGTGTAATCTGATCTAGTTCAGGGTGGGGTTTGGCCCCAATACTAGTGGTTGTTTATCCTCTTCAACATACTGCCATAATCCTTGTCCTCTTGGAAGGTTTTCATTTTGACAGCCCAAATGTGATATTGATCCCCATTGAAGGTTGGAGGAGTAAGGGAGATTGTGTGTTGTGCCATTGAGTCAGGCTGTGTGGAACTTAATAGCTAATTTCAGCGTAACAAAGGTTGAGAAAGTGAGTGAGAAGAGATGAGTTTATCAGGCCTTTAATATCAGTAGAACTCTGATACCATTTGTTGGTTCAGAGGAAGAAATGATCAAAGTAAAAATGAGAAAATTTGTAAGGGAAAGAGACAGCAACAAATGAGAGTTTATCACACTACAAACTTCATTCACTGAGTTGAAACTTTTATACAAGAGTTACACTGTTTTACCTACTGAGTTAAAATAAAAATAATACATTTGAATTTCAACTAATGCATATACAAAATCAAGTCTTAATCTCAACAAAACATGTCAAATAAACTAAGCTTGATTGCCTTAAAATCTGCTGCACCAACTACTGCAGCCTAACAAAACAAAAACAAAAACTTTGGTTCCAAAATGCAACTTGAACTTTCAGTCAGAATTTGTCCCATTTCTAGCAGGTTATCACCAACTTCATCAATTAGTCAGTGTGATAAGTTAATAATTTTTATTTTACTGAGTGACCAGTTATGATCAATCATAATATAAGGCACACTAAACAGTCTAGAATAAATACTTCCTCAATCATATTAGAGGAAGAAATTAGGGAAAAAGTGAAAACATAACCGAGAGACATTGCAAGCGCAGCGTACACAAAATCCAGGCAAATTTTTCATTCATATATATATATGACAGGAACCAGATTTTAAACATAAAGTAAGACAACAAATTATTTAGAAGATTTTAATAAAAATGTTCAAAAAAAAAGCTGTCGCTGAAACCTTGGTATGCTAGCAATTCCCTGATGTTGAATCAAACTGTTCCGGTAACATTACTAGGATTGGTACACAAAGCCAGTTAAAACCGTGATTGTTAGTATTCTTAACTTACAAATCGAATTTTAATCCAATTCACCTCGGCAACATTACTGGGATTGGTATACCAACACCATATCCATCCCCAGAATAAAATTTAACTCAAAATCTTATCTTTTAACTACCAACAGAATAAAACAAAAGAACCCAAAAGCAAGAGGGCAAAAGCAATGAAATATTCAAAATGAACATGAAATGCAAATGGGGGATTAGAATCTTATAACCAACCTCCAAGAACAAGAGGTGCTTAGCAACTTCCTCTTCAGGGTCTTTAACAAACACAAACTTGGAAAAATTCACCACCATGAAATCCCCATTATCATCATTATTACTATAGTACTTTGCGCGGCGTCTCCTATTGTTGTTCTTATTGGTGCTAGGGGTTGTCTCTCTGGGTGGCTGTGAGAGCTGGAATTGAGTGAGGGAAGTTGAACAGCAAGCAACTCTGAAGTGGGCGGTCAGCTGTTGCTTCAAGAAGGGGTTAAGGTTAGTGTGAATTGTTGTTGGTATTGAGAAGATTGGTGGTGATAATATTGGAGAATGAAGAGCATGATAATAGCCTCTCATCATTTTTCAGCGGCTTCTAGTTTTTTACTGTTTGTCTTTGAGTTTGGTAATTTGTAGTTACACTTGGAGACGACAAGAAATTGATCAATTATGTTAAAAAATTTTGGAAGGCTTTTCGCGAAATCCTATGCTAAATATCATATGCACCGATAGTAACGTGTGATATATCTAATATATCCACAATAATAATAATGTATTATAAAATATCACATAAGTTATCCTTTTAATATAAAATATAATAAAAGTCCTCATGTAGATCTAAAATATCACAAAAGTCATCCTTCATGTAGATTGTTCCAAGGCCTCCTTTATACGTTAAATATTGATAAGTCCCCTTTGTGCTTTGCCCTTTGGATGTAACTATTACTGATCCCCCTTTTGGATGTACAGTATCAAACAAGTCTTCCTATATGTAAGATACTCATTAATCCTACTTTAGATGTAAAATATCACATACATCCTTATATGTAAATTGTTTAGATTAGCCAGAGTCTTGTGTGTATATATATATATATATATATATAAAACAAATGAGATGACAACAATATGTAGAATTTTTAAGCCTCTGATTCGGATTATATAGCTAATCTAGTGTGACAATATCTGTTTATTGCAATGTATATCTGGTTTTGGAAATTAATGTTATTTAATCTCCATTAATGCACTGAAGAATCCCAATTTTGCTCTTAAGCACTTGACTAAAAGATTCACATTAAATATAGTAAAGTTCATGTCTTGTCCAATCAACCCAAACATGGTTTTATCAGGTTTAAGTTGACTCTAAATTTCTGACCAAAGGATACCTTCACCACCGGCACCGTGTATGTTCACAGAGATATATATATATATATATATTCCTTCATAAAGTTGATGACAACTCATTTGCTCTCTTAATTTACTTGGATGGGCGGCCAGCTTTTGGATTAATTCTCAACGTAGTGGTGCCCCCAAAGTGGCTGCTTATGTGGCCACCACCATTGCCAGGCATTGAGCCTCCACTACAGTGCATATTGTGCAATTCTTCTATTCCATTTTCTGCAGGTTCCATGATCAGACTCACATGAGTCCCTCAATCTCATGTTGATCCAACTCCTATGCCTATAAAAACCCCATTTTCTCGTACTTCAAGATTTTGTCCTACCTGGATTGTGATTTTTTTGTTAATTAAGTTACAAATGGCTCAGCACTGTCCCTTGACATCTTTAATGAGCTTGGCCATGCTTCTTAATGCAGCCTTTTGTGCCAATTTTAGTGATTTTTTTCAACCTCTTTGGGCTCCTGATCACATTGCTACTGAAGGAGATCACATTAACTTATCCTTAGACACTGTTTCTGGTAATGTATGGTTTAGCTATAATTTAGATGACTTTTATTTGTTATTGTTTCTATTTTTGTTGCTGAGAAGTCTGAATAATTGGTTGCAGGTTGTGGGTTTGAATCTAGAAGCAAGTACTTGTTTGGGAAAGCAAGTATGCAGATCAAACTAGTTGAAGGTGATTCTGCAGGAACTGTCACAGCCTTCTATGCAAGTTAATTACTTCTGTTTATGTTATGTTTGTTTGTAATTTTTTTTATATAATGTGTTTATTGAAATTCACAGATGTCATCGGAAGGGCCAAATCGCGACGAGCTAGACTTTGAATTTCTAGGTAATGTTTCCGGGGAACCATATCTAGTTCAAACAAATGTGTACGTGAATGGAAGTGGAAACAGAGAACAAAGACATTCACTTTGGTTTGATCCTACACTGGATTTTCATACCTACTCCTTGTTCTGGAACCACCGCTACATAGTGTAATCACCTGCCATGCATTTTTTGGATGCTCTCCTTATGCTTTCATTAACATTTTCATGTCTATTTATATGGTAAATTCAATGAACTACATGTCTAATATTTCAGGTTTCTGGTAGACCGGATTCCAATAAGAGTATTTGCAAACAAGGAAGAAAACGGAGTGATTTACCCAAAGAGTCAAGCCATGTCAATCCGTTGGTCAATGTGGAATGCTGATGACTGGGCTACACAAGGAGGGAGTGTCAAGACAAACTGGAGCCACTCCCCATTTGTTGCAACCTTTAGATCGTTTGAAATAGATGCCTGCGAGTTGTCGCCGGAAACTGATGACGTAGAAGCCGAATGTGCTGTATCACGGCATTTCTGGTGGGATAAGCCATCCATGAGAGAGCTGAATAGGCACCAGAGTCACCAACTCAAGTGGGTTCGCAGAAAGCATATGGTTTATGATTATTGTAAGGATGTAGCTCGCTTCACTGAGCTGCCAAGAGAGTGTATCAATTAGCCTATATTTATTGCAATGCGATTACAATGTTGTTACAAATGAGTTAGAAAATAAATAATTGCAGAGTCTCATCCATATATTTATAAAAAGAAAAAAAATTACATATAACATTATATATGATGGTATCTGCCATATGTGATGAATAATTCGTTGTGGTTACATACTTACATTCAATGGCGTGGTCTTCAGTTAATTCACAAAAATGGAAGGCCAGAGGGTTGCGGTTACATTTATTTTCATTATATTTCCATCTTCTCAATGATGAAGTTAGAATTAAACCAAGTAAATATGGCCCAGGAGAAATTAAATTAACAAGTGAAAACTAGCTCACATTTGCTCTGTTCTATGTGGAAGGGATAAAAGAGAGAATGGGTCTCTATGAAAACACATAGATAATTAACATTAGATTGAATAATGAGCATGCTTATATAGTCTCATGAGGGTGAAATTAATTTAATTAGATTATACACTAAATACATTTAGAGTCAGGACAGTTGAATGAGAGACACATCCATATATATTAGTAATTAAAAAAAAAAAAAGTATTAAATAATTTCAGTCTTTTGTTTTGCCCATCTTTCATGGGTGAAATTAATTCAATTATATTATACACTAAATACATTGCTCGGCTTGATCAGTGTTTTCAGGAAAGTCTTGCGGGGAAGTAATTAATTATTATGAAAATGCATGGAACTGATGTAGTTTTTTTCCTGTATATGTATTATCAAATCACCATGTTAGAGTGTTTTAACTTCAGTCTTCAGAGCAGGGTCATAATGGATAAAGCTGATTATTATTTATCTCCATGACTTATTACTTACATTTGCTCAACATCTGCTTAATATTTCCTCCGATTTTCTTCATCTTTCTGCAGTACAGTGGGCCATCAAAAGATGATCTTTGCCTATGTAGAATGGTTGAGAGAAGATGAACGATTTCTTGATATACTGGTTCAGGTATCTCCAGCTTTAAATGGGCATGCCTTTCCAAAGTTGCAGCTGCGGTACAAGCCTTCACTAGTACAGGCAAGCTATATATTTCTGCATGTTGTTTCTAATTTGTTTTGCCACCCTCTGTTTGCTGATTCACCGTTGTGCTATATAATTTTTACGGTGTTTATGAACTATACACATTAATCTTTTTCATGGTCATGTCACCCTTTGTTTCTTGAGTCACTACGTTCTCTTATAAAATATTTTTGATCAAGAATTCAGTGTCTTTTATTTCTATTTTGTAATAATTTTTTTTATATTCGCCTTCATTAGGAATTTTTTTTTTTACCTGTAGAGTTTTTCCAGTGACACATATAATTCACGGCCTCTCCCCGCTTTTAAAGTTGGAACTCTTTCTCAGTGTTCTGTGTATGGTATACATGCATGTGTATGTATTTGTGTGTTTTAATTAGTACTTGATTTGTTTTCTGCTGTTGGAAAGAGGTATTTCAGATCTTCCTCTGCTTGACCTCTAAATGCGTGCAACACCACTACCACCATCTGAATGGAGAAAGAGATTGGAGGCAGTAAAGGACAGTGATGAAGCATCGAATTCAAATCTTAATACCAACTTGATTCTATTGGATGTGAGAAATGGTATTCACTTCTAGTATGCTCTATCTTTTCGCATCTATGTATATTTGTTGGAGTTTGCTATATGTTTCAAATTTCTCAAACAGTCACTGAAGTTATCTGGCTTGAACTTGAGTTTTTAGGTGGAGAGGTGAATTATAGTAGACCAACAATATCAGATGTCATAAACCAATATGGTATAGTTTAGGAAAGACATAGTTGAAAAGCACATTGCATCAGTAGCATGATGCTATTCCTGTTTCTGTTGACTGCTGTTGTAAAACCCCATTTCTAATTTAGTAATAGCATGAATTTTAATTAGTTATTTAATTCCCTTTCTAATTGATTTTATGGTATTGTTATAAAAAAGGGGTATTTTTGTCAGTTTTTAAAGTTGCATTAAGGGGTGAAACAAAGAAATAAATCCTGATGGGTTTGCAGTCAAGGAGGAAAAATTTGGATATTTTTATAGGAAAAGCTTAGGTGGCGGGGTTAGATGAAATTTAGAGAATATTGGGGGCAGAAATAATTTCAGAAAAATGTTTTGTTTAAAAAGGAAGAAGAAGAAAACGAGAGCAGAAGAAAGGAAGGAGAAAGAGAGGAGGAGGAGAAGAAGAGAGGAGAGAAAGGAAAAAAACAAAAAAAAAAAGGTGAAGAAGAGAAGAAAGAGTGGGTTCGGCCGAGAGATAGAGTGAGAGAGGAAAGAAGAAAAAGAAGAACAAAGAGAAAGGGAGAGGATATATTAGTTTTTGAGTCTGTGAACAGTGCATCATCAAATCGTGATCTGGAGCTCGTTTGCCGTCCGATCGTTCTGATTTTTGGATATGTTGTTCATGAAACACAACTCTACGTTCTGAACGGTGGAGATCGAAATCCCAGCACTGTAATAGGCCTTCAATTATAGGATTAGAAGAGTGAGTGGTTTTAATGAAAACTTTCCTTAAAATTTCAGATCTATGCTTGCATGTTAATTTCTAGTATGCCATTTTTGGTATTTTGATGAGGTTTGAGCTAAATGTGAAGCTTTCTTGGTTTATTTTTCTTTGTATGTTTTCGGACAGATTCTAGAGTGGTAGTTTTGAGTTTTAAAATGGAATGAACTTTGCTTGCTCATTGATCTTGCATGCATTTGGTTGTTTCAATAAACTGTGATGGTGGCTGGATATTTTGGTTGCATGCACTCGGCTGGACTGCATTTTGAGAGGTGCTTGAGTTTTGTATTTGGACTAAAAGTTGGCTGGTTGAATACACTTGCAAGCTTCCAGTTGGACTGTCTTTTGAGAAAATTGATTTCCATGGTATTTTAAAATGCTGGGAGTTAAGGTATTTTGGCTGTTAAAACGTTAAAGAAAGGACCGAGATTTGTGAAGTTGGTAATAATTTTCTCGGTAAAAAGGAAAAATGGGGTGCTTTTTGTCAGTTTTTAAAGTATGTTTTAAAAACTTTCATTTCACCCCCTATTTTCCATGAAATCTCATATGTTGGCATGATTTATCCTAATAGGAAATATTCATATATTATTATTATTATTATTATTATTGTTTTTGCTCTTGGGTTTAATTATAATTATAATGTGTTATATGAGTTTTGACTTTTGAAAGTGATATTTGCTTATGATTTGTATCGGACATATGCTAAGATTATGTGATGTTGAAGTAATTTTTAATCTGGGTTAAACCGTCAGTTTCTGAAACACATTTAGAAAATTTCAATTTCACCCCTATATGTGATTTTTGAATATTATGTCATATATGTATGATTTATAAGCACATACATAATATGCTCTTGACTTACATGTTACTTGAGATCATGCATGAGATTGTTGTGGTGCTAAAACCACCCTACGAAATACCCATTCCCTAGAGTTACAGATTATCAGATCTAGTTTATGGCTCTACGCATGCGTATGACAGTTATCAGTGCTCTGCCTAGGCGTTGAGTGGTCTGCCAGATATGATAGTTTTGAGGCTCTACCCGCATGATGAGAGACCTTGCCGGGTATGACAGGTACGTCCCTCGCTCTGCCTACGTATGGGACACCCACTAGGTATGACAGATTTTCCCCAGGGTACTAGTTGTGGTGAAAGTTTTTTTTAATACCAAATGTTGAGGTTTTATACAGAATCCGATACAGTTAAAGAAAGTAAGTTAGAGTACAGTTTACTGAGTGCATGATGATTAGAAATAAATCATATATTGTATACGTGAATGGGGTGGTTGTTCCATTGCAAATTCATAGAATTATATTGTCGTCAGGATTTGTTTGAGAATTGTTGTATGTTATCATTATTTCTTTTTTAAAGAACTTTTATAAACCTCCATTTTCTCCCACTCACTGAGCATTTCAGCTCACCCCTTTTTAAATGTTTTCCCCCCCTCACCAAGACCTTCAGGAGATCATGCCGAGCAGTGAGCCTCTGCTCAGGGTTGTGCCACGCGTCGACATCTTTTTATGTGGGTTTTATATTTATGTCGTATTGTATTTTGGATTTTCATTTCAAGAACTCATGTTTCCCATCATGTATTTCCTTTTGTTTCATGTTTTGGAATGTGTAGTATAAGTGGAAAACCTGATACCACAAGTTTCCTAACTCTTTTGTAAAACGAAAGATGATGCATGTCCTTTTTTTTGAGATGTTGGAAATGGAAATACTATGATGTTATTCAGGAAAAGTAGGTTTTTTAACAGGTTTCACAGTTTTTCTACATGGCACGTCTCAGGTATCTGAGTCTTGTGGGAGAGCCTGGATCCTACGGGATGAGGAAATTCGAGACGGGTCGTGTCAACTTGATATCACAGCATGATTTTCGATTTTTAAGGGCATTTAAAAAAAAAAAAAAAAAAAAAAGAATCTCACACATGCCAATTAGCCCCTTAATGAAGTTTATTTCCATCCATGAGTTTTTTATTTTTATTTTTTTAAAACCAATTTGTTTATGTTTTGTATATATCAGCATGAGTCGATGTGGCCAGCCTCGCATGAAATCTGTGAGAGAATTATTAGTTCCTAGAGTGCTCAGGAGGGTGAGTGAGCCTAAGGAAGAGGGAATAGGAGAGTCGGGTACCCACAGGCCAAGACCTCAGGGACCCTAGGAAGAATCAGATGCCGATGATCAAAATGTTGGGGAAGGACCAGTGAGTGAACAAAATGCAGGGCTCCAAGGTGATGGGGATAACATGGAGCAGACTATGGATAGGCTAGCTCAGCTGATGACTAGAGTAGTGCAGGATAGGACGCCCGAACGTCAGGGAGAAGGAAAAACTATATAGAGAGCAAGAAAATTAGGGGCAATAGACTTTGAGGGGACGGGAGATCCCACAGATGCCAACTCCTGGATGGATCAATTAGAGCAAGTGTTTGGGATATTGGAGTGTACCGATGACCAAAAACTACGATTTGTTACTTTTCTACTAAAATGTAGGGCTCGTCATTGGTGGAGATCGGTGCAACATAGATATGGGAATTCGACAATGATTACTTGGGCCAATTTT